CCCCCCCCCCCCCCCCCCCCCCCCCCCCGCCCCAGCAACCAAAGGTCAGGCCCAGAACCGGCACAGGACGATGCTCGTCCATCTTCAGGCTTTGCAGAGAGAAACAGAATAAGCGACTTGCCTAAGACATCAGCGACCCAGGGCTGGGGTAGAAGCAGATCTACCCTTCCCAATAATTTACTGCGAACATTTCTTAACATGCAGAAAAGTTGGAAGAAATTTACAGTGAAACCCACATACTCACCACCTAGATTCTACAATCAGCATCTTACTATCCGTGTGTTGTCACACACCTCTCTTTCTCTCTATGCATTCATTTACCATCTGATCTTCTGAAGCATTTCAAAGTGGTAGACACCGTCCTCGCGCCCCCAAACACTTCAGCACAAATGCCATTTGCTATAGTGACATACTTGTTTGCAGTTTTTTTTTTTTTTTCTTTTTAAGTAAAATCATGGGTACAATTCAGTGCACAGAGCTTCCAGGTACTGGGCTGGGTAATTTTACATGGTGACTTGACTGGGCTGAGGGGTGCCCAGATTTAAACATGATTTCCGAGTGTGTCTCGGAGGGTGTTTCCAAATGAGATTAGCACTTGAATCAAAGGACTGAACAAAGCAGACTTCCCTTCCCTGTGTGGGTGGGCAGCACCCAATCCGTCGAGGGCTTGACTGAAAAGAAAAGGCCAAGAGGAAGGGGGAATTCTCTCTGCCTTTGCTCATTGGCTAGAGCCAAGATCTCAGTCTTCTCCTGCCCTCAACTAGAACTTACACCATCAGCCTTCCAGCCGAGAAAGACCCAGCAATAAATTTCATGGGCCTCCAGCTTGCAGACAGCAGATGGCGGGACTTCTCAGCCTCCAAAATCACATGAGCCAATCCTTACACTCAATCTCCCGTGCACATATTACATATACACATATGCGTAAGTCTGTTTCTCCTACTGGTTCCGTTTCTGTGTATAACCCGAACCCCTATTAAGATATGAAAAACATTACCATCACCTGAGAAATTTCTCTCATTTCCATGCCCAGTTAACACCTGTTTCCCAGTTACTGTCCTTTATCCACCACAGATTGGTTGTGCCTGTTCTAGAACTTTCTATAAATGGAACCATATACTATACATTCTTTTGTATAAGGCTTCTTTTACTCAGCATGAACCTCTGAGATTTATCCAGGTGGTGTTACTCATCCATGGTTTGTTCCTTTTTCCTACTGAGTGCCATGTTCTGTATGAAGAAGTCATGCTTGTTTACTCCATTCCGCGGATGGACTCGGACTATTTTCCAGTCAGGGCCACTCCCGATGAAGTTGCTATGAACACTTCTGTCCATGTCTTTTTGTGGACCTTCATGTTCATTTCTCTGAGGTAAATAATCTAGGCATGGCACCAGAGTGACAGGGTAACTTGGTCGAGTGAGTTTAGTTTTGTAAGAAAATGCCTGAGTTTTGCCCAGGTGGGTGTGCCATCTCACGTCTCATGAAATGGAATGGAAGTTCTACGTTGTTCCACATTCTGGCCCACATTTGGTACGGTGTCTTTTTAATTTTAGCCATTCTGGAGTGTATAGTGGTAACTTAGTGGGATTTCAATTTTCCTTTCCATGATGACTAAAGAGAGCAGATGGGTTCTTTTCATGTACTAATTGGCCATTTGTCTATCTTTAGGAAGTATTTGCTCAACTCTTTTTGCCCATTTGTTTATTTATTTTTGCTTTTATTATTGAGTTGTAGAAATTCTTTATATAGTCTAGATTCCGGTTGTGTGTCAGGCATGTTTTGCAAAGATTTTCTCTCAGTCTGGGACTTGCCTATAAACATTCTCTTAATGGTGTGTTTTGATGTACAAGAATTTTCAACTTTGATAAAGTCTACATTATTTAAAAATTTTATGGTTATTGCTTTCAGAGTCATGTTTAAGAACTCTTTGCCTTGGGGCGCCTGGGTGACTCAGTGGTTTAAAGCCTCGGCCTTCGGCTCAGGTCATGATCCCAGGGTCCTGGGGTCAAGCCCCGCATTGGGCTCTCTGCTCAGCAGGGAGCCTGCTCCCCTTCTTCTCTCTCTGCCTGCCTCTCTGCCTACTCGTGATCTCTGTCAGATTAATAAATAAAATCTAAAAAAAAAAAAAAAGAACTCTTTGCCTTACTTTCAAGTTGCAGAGATACTGTTTTCTTCTAAATGCTTTATCATTTTTGCTTTTATGTTCGGTTCTCTGACGCATATCAAAGTTCAAGTAACAAATGGCACCCTAACAATTACCGTACCATAAGTTAGGTAAAGGGACATTTTACTATTATTGAGAGAAATGGAGGGCTAAACGGACTGTTTTGTTGCCTTCTGGGTGGTGAAGCTATTGGAAACCCAAGCAACAACCTGGAGGGCATGCCTCTTGTCAGAGGGAAGGAGCCTGGCCCCACGGCCCTGTTACTATTCCTTAAATTGTGTGACTACATAAATTGGTCACACACACACACACAGCCAAGTAGCTGGCAAATAACCCAATTCACTGATTGACCACACCATTTGGGCTTTCTGGCCTTTGATCTATCTGGATACAAACTTAGGGAAAACTAGGACATTAGTTAATCAAACAGATGCCATATCTGTGACCAGATGTATTGCTTGGACCTCTTACGTGATGTTTTTACACAATCAGATGGAGAGTCGAAATTTCTGGCCGGTTTCTTCCTCTTCTCTCACTGAGCTGAGAACACTGGGTGCTATCATTCTGCTTCTGTTACTTCATTATGCTTGTTTTTTGTTTGTTTGTTTGTTTGTTTGTTTACAAGCCGTAGGCGAAACTAGCCAAATGCACGGGGTGTTGTTTCTTTTGCCTGAGCTTTGCTCTAGCACCAACATCATGTTTGCATTGGCGTTTACTTTTTTAACTGACTTTAATTGACTGCCCAGCCGAACGTAATACATTCTAGGTAGTTTATAAGCTACGATTTCTTTCAGAAAAAATACAATAGACAAAGTTTCCATTAAATGTAAGCCTTTGTACTTTCTTAGTTTCCTCCAGGTCATTAACCTTTCACCTATAATCATCTTAGCGATAGGACTTCGGCCACTCTAGTGTAATTGATCATTAGCAAGAGCCATGATGGAAAAAGAAAAACTCTTATTAAGACATACTTTTTTTTTTTTTTAAGTAGGCTCCATGCCCAAAGTGGGGCTTGAACTCAAAACGCCGAGATCAAGAGTCACACACTCTACCGACTGAGTCTTCCAGGTGCCCAAAGAAATACTTTTAATTAATACTTAAAAAAAAATGATGAACACTTAACCTCAAGATTGAGGCTTCAATTCTTCATTGTTATTAAAAGACTCTTAAGTTATTCTACCTTAAAGTCTAAAAAATTATGTACAGATTATACTTAAAGATCAGTCTGCAGCAGTGAAAAATTGTGCGTTCTATTCACATTCTATGATGCTCAACGAAAATGTTACCCATATTTTATTTTTATTTTACACAGTCGAGAGAATGTCCTTATTTTTTGGAGGTATTAGGGGTGACGTAACATGAGGTCTTTACTTTCACTTTACAATTTACTTTAAAATCCTTCTATCTAGGGTGCCTGGGTGGCTCAGTTGTTAAGTGTCTGCCTTCAGCTCAGATCATGATCCGGGGGTCCTGGGATCTGGCCCTGCATCAGGCTCCCTGCTCAGTGGGAAGCCTGCTTCTCCCTCTCCCACTCCCCCTGCTTGTGTTCCTTCTCTCCTCTCTTCCTGTCAAATAAATAAATAAATTCTTTTTTTTTAAGCTTCTATCTATCTATCCAATCATCTATCCAACTAATCATCTATAAGCAATTATAACCAAATGTTAACTGTGACTTTATTCATAGGTTTGTATGGGTGTTCATTATACTCTTTTACTTTTCTGTACCTTTAAAATTGCCATAATAGGGGCACCTGGGTGACTCAGTGGGTTAAAGTCTATGCCTTCTGCTTGGGTCCTGGGATTGAGCCCCACATCAGGCTCTCTGCTCAGTGGGAAGCCTGCTTCCCTCTCTCTCTCTCTGCCTGCCTCTCTGCCTACTTGTGATCTCTCTCTCTGTGTCAAATAAATGAAAATCTTAAAAAAAAAAAAAATGTGACCTGCCTATCTCTCCAGGCATTTAAAAAATATAAAATAAAATAAAATAAAATTGCCACAATAAACCTCCCACAAATTTATTCACAGTTTTTGCAAAGCTGAGTCTTATGACCTAATCCTCTTGTGCTTTCTAGGGTTTTTGCACACGTAAGGGAAAAAAGATGGCACAGTGTGTGCTTCGAGGCCCTCTTCCAAGTGCAAAATCTGAATTCTTTGATCTGAAAGCTTTCGGTGTGCTAGAAGGGCAGGTTTGGGGAAGACCGGGGAGATAGGCTCACCATTGTCCATCTGAACATTCCAACCGGGGTTAATTGAAATGAACCTCGACCAGAAAAAGTGCTAAGCGGCTTTGAGAACGACAGACAGATTCTGCATTCTGTGTGGCCGCCGTCCCTCCAGGCGGGACTTGGTACCTGCTGCGGTGAGGAGAGGGTTCGAGGAGCAGGACACTCGTTCCTAAGGTCAGAGGCAAATAGCACAAGAAGGCGCGCATCTTAAGAGAGCAAAGCCAGAGGTCGGGGAGCGGAAGCAGGTACGGCCAGAATTGGTTTCTTTCGGCTCTGAGAGGGAGGGGAGCCGCGGGTACTCACTTCTCCTCGATCATTTGCTTCTGATACTCCTCATACTCCTCTCGAGTCATCCCTTGGGCTGCCGCGGGATCCGACGTTCCTCCTTCTTCTTTTTTTTCTTCTGACCCGCCACTAAATCCGAAGCTCTTGACCTGGTTGCTAATCATAGTTTTCATAAAGAAAGCCATGGTTTCTGCCCCCAGAAAAATAAAGCCAAAACTCAGACGAAACGTGAAGAACAGAAAAAAAAAAAAAAAGACAAAATCTCCCAATATCCTCAATGATAACGCGTTTAAGAGCAAAGGACTTTGCACGGCCTCATCTGCTCAAGGGCATGATGATGGAGAAGAGTGGTTTGTGGGCTGTAAGCTGGATTAAAGAGACCAACTCCTTAATATAGGGAGGCAGATGGTTGTGATTACTAAGGCATACAATCAGATGCAAACGACTGCTTTCTGAATTAATACACTAAGCTAATTTCAGAGGCAAAAAAAAAAAAAAATCCCCTCACATTATCTACTCCTCTCCCTACCCATTTCTAAATTTGGGAAATTATAAGCGCAGCAGGGCTTCATCAAGAGCTCCGTTTCAATTAACCGGAGCCGACTGCCACACGCCTGTCCCGGAATGTCCAAAGTCCAGCCCCTTGAGGACAAGATCCCGTTAAAAAATGGAGTCCAGCAAGACTCAAAATCCAGAATGCTTTATCAAGCAAAAATAATCCTTTGATCCGTCATTTTATCTGATTGGACCCTTAAGTACCATGCGAGGATTTGCCTTATTGTGTGCTGGAGTTCCGCTCTGCTTCCGTGGCTCTCGTGGCCCATACATCAGTCCCCACCTGAGGCAAATCTAAAGGGCAAGCTACACGGACCCTCCGTTTAGATCGGAAGATCACCTTGGGCTTCTCTCCCGCACTGACATGTTACATCTCTGCTTGGAATGAAGCACCAGACACTTCAGTGCTCGAACCCACAAGGTAAGCACGACCTGAGCTAAATCATCCACGTGGAATGGGGTCACCTTTTCCCCCTTACATGGGTCCACTTCCTGGGGGGCTCTGTTCACCATCAGTGGTGTACTCCTACGATGTTTTCTAACACGCAGCACATTTCCAATGGCCACGGTTTTTTGCAGGTCAAGGGAGGAACTGAGTATGGCTAAGACTTTAATCTGTTAGTATCTTTCCAATTAAAGCGCTCCAAGAGGGGGTGGGGCGGAGAAAGATGCACGCTTGTAACCTGTGCTTGTTATTCTGGCTGTAGGCGTGAGCCCTCTCAGGAAACGGGTCCCTCAGCTTGCACATAACTGTGTAATGGTTAATAATTCCCTTTATTGGGCGCCTCAGTGGCTCAGTCGTTAAGTGTCTGCCTTGGGCTCAGGTCATGATCCTGGGGTCCTGGGATGGAACCCCGCACTGGGCTCCCTGCTCAGCAGGAAGCCTGCTTCTCCCTCTCCCACTTCCCCTGCTTGTGTTCCCTCTCTCGCTCTCTCTGCCAAATAAATAAAATTAAAAAAAAAAAACTCTCTTTATTAAACCTATTTAAGGATGTTCTAAAATCATCTTACCACGAAAGACAGCAAAGGTTCAGGATGAGATAGGAGCCGAGCCGAGTGCTCTGACCGAGAGCTTGCATTCATACTGGCTTCACTTTCACTTTTAGGGGCACTACCTGGAACTTAATCCATCTGGACCATTGTCACTACACTTTCATTTCTAACCCACCGTGTCTCCTCTCATCGCACTGAGGGGTATTACAGAGTCCTTTAGCAGATGGGGTAAAAGCCACAGCCTAGGATTCCATGTTGTTTGCTCAGGTCAGCCCAACTCTTCTTAACTCTTGTAGTGTAGAAAACTAGAAAACAGCCCAACTCTTGTAGTGTAGAAAACACCACACTGGGGATGCTTGGGTGGCTCAGTGGGTTAAAGCCTCTGCCTTCGGCTCAGGTCATGATCCCAGGGTCCTGGGACTGAGCCCCGCATCTGGCTCTCTGCTCAACGGGGAGCCTGCTTCCTCCCTTCTCTCTCTGCCGACTTGTGATCTCTGTCAAATAAATAAATAAAATCTTAAAAAAAAACAACACACTACACTGTTTCATGAGATTAAAAACCACTTTTTTTTTTGTAAGATTTTATTTGTCAGAGTGACAGAGCACCGGCAGAGGGAGCAGCAGGCAGAGGGACAAGCAGACTCCCTGGTGAGCAGGAAGCCAGATGGGAGGCTCCATCCCAGGACCCTGGGATCATGACCTGAGCAGAAGGCAGATGCTTAACTGACTGAGCCACCCAGATGCCCTAAAAACCACTTTTATTCCCAAAGAAAAAAAGGATCTGCTGAAGATCTGACCTATGTCATAGTGTTGGTCGGAAAATGAAACCCCTACATTTTTTGGTACAGGTGTTGGGGAGGAGGGGTAAGCTAGCATAGCACACTCTGGCGGCTACGTGGGTGTGGCAGCTGGATACCCCTGGGTATTGCTGTTTCATGAACCCAAATCTCTCACGGTCTCCCCAGTAGATAATTCCACTGAAAGTGGGATCATGTCTTTAAAATCTCTTTATTCCTCAATTTATTACAAGGGCCTTTCCCTTGACATCCAATAAACTATCTGCTATGTGTAGAATCTTGTATTCCTCCAGAAAAGGAAAATAAATATCCCACGACTTGTGACATGGGGCAAGCAGGTGTAACCCCGCCAAAGGCTTCTCGTCATACATGAATAAAGTCCCCAGACTTTTTTTTGCTATGGCAAGGCAGGCGAGGCATATCGGCAAAGCCCGAAGTGAACCGCACGATCTCAGCCCAGTGTCTAGGGTTTATCTACGCACAGTCTAGCTTCCGCTGCGCCTCGCTCTCTCCCCAGGCTTGCTGATCAGGCTAATGCCTGATCAGCAAGCCTGGGGAGAGAGCGAGGCATTTCCTCTGAGTTCTTTCAAACCCATCTAATTTATTTAAATCTTTCCTTTTATCCTGTCTGGTCGTTCTCTGTGTTACAGCAGAAGAGAGCCCATTACCATCTTCTGAAACCACTTTGAAAGACTCTTTGACCATGCTACGGAGCCTGGGAGAGAAATATTATAAAGAAACTCAAGATCATGTTTAGCAAGTGGCAGATCCAAGATTAAAACCCAGTTCTGACACCAAAGCCCCCTTCTTTCCTTTTAATACTGCATGGACTCTCAAAATTGGAATTATTTGGTTAAATAAATGATGCTTGCCAAGAAGATTAAAGAACTTTTTTAAACTGCCATCAGCATGATGAAGAGTTCCTGCTGAACCACACTTTTCCCAGTATTTGGTTTATCACAGGTGAAAACATCAAATGCACCACCTTAATTAGTTGGTGTCGGTCATTACCAGCAAGGGTAAGCCGTACCCATTAACATTCCAACTTCTCTTTTTCTGCTTCCATGTGTTCTGCTGCATGTGGGAGGCCATCCAGGGCACAGCATGTAGCAAATGACAAACCAGACAGGATCACAACCTGGGCCTACTTGGAAAATAAATGCCTACTTACTACCCGAGACCAATGAAGGAAAAAGTAAATTTACTAAAATATTTCTTTATTTGAATAAGGTCAATGTCATTTCTTGAATTCCAGCTAGCATCAAATAACAATCAGAAAAAAAACACTTGACAAAATGTTATCCAATTGAAATGAACAGTGGATAGAAAACCCTTAACTTTAAAAGAAATATATTAAATAGGCAACGTACAGATCTAAAAAGTTGCAAGTGGTGATTTTACATTAGATCTTATAAATAAAAAAATCCCCCGTGTAATTGTTTATTCATGATCTCCCTGCAATAAGCACATGGACAGGAAAAGATAATCACATCTTAATATTCACAACTGTTATTTAAGTTCTTTACAAAGATTGTATCTCTGCAACTCATTGGGTCAGGCGATCCCTTATTCAAGTAATTTGTTTTCCCTAAGTTATCAAAAAAGAACAATTGTCTGAGATAAAATGTCACAGAAATCGCAATCAAGAAAGCAAAAAGCTTTAGCAGGCAGACTTTGAGATGGGAGTTTTCATGGCTTAGTCATGATCTGACTATGAATCTATAAGTTTAAAAGCCATCAACCAAAGTACCAAGAGCTACAGGCAACAATCTGGGTTTAGTTTGTGGTTGTTAAGAAACCAAGAATTTTAGGAGGAAGAACACTGCAAGAAGAAAAGGATCCGTGCACATGTGCTAACGTCACCGACAATGAAAATGATATATTATGCTCTCTGCTCAGCTTTAAACCAACAGAACACAGTACTTTTTTTCCACTCCCCATGTTAGTGGTTCTCAGACACTAGTGTGCTCAGAACCACCTGACGTGCTTGCTAAAAAGTGATATTCTGAAGCCCCGCCTCTGAATTTTGATTCAGGTGCTTTAGAATGGAGGCCTGGAATCCTTATGCTTCACAAGCACAGCATGACCCACACGGTCCACGGACCACACTCTGAGAAACACTGATGTCCCTTTAATACAGAACAAAACATTGTTGATAGTTCGTGGCTTCTTAGTAAAGTTTTAAGCTGAACAAAACATTCAAGCAATTAGAACACAAACAGGTACATTAAAAAAAAAAGTATTAGCCATTATGGCATTGGATTTTTTTTTTTAAAGTGGCATCGCAGGCACGATGACTCAACACTAAAATTTTAAAATCAATTTTGTTTTAGTCCAAGGCACCTGTAAAATACTTGCTGGTGTGAGAAGGTAACAAATGTAATTATACAAAATAGTACAGAAATGAAAGAATCCTGGCAGTGATTGATTTTTCCAAAGAGCAGTCATTTTTCTTCAGAAATAAGCTACTTAAAGCGAATGATTTTGAGGAAAATAAACCGAATTTCAAATAATACGATGAACAGCCTGTGCGAACTGCTTTATGAGTGATCTTCAAGTAAATTAAATTACTAGGTAAAAAAGAAAAAGATTCATGCATTTTCATAACAGCTCTCTCCGACTGAATTAGTAACGGTCAGCACAGTTCCTCTCCCAACTGTAGCCTGAACAATGTCCACCGCATTCATGTCGGGTGTCCCCTTAGTCCATTCAGGCACACATGACAATGGATTTCGTAACACTGGATATTTTGCAGCCTTTTATCAAGAGGATTTCCCAACTTCCACAGCCCACAACTTAAATACTCTTCTGAAGGTTTTTTTCTTTTTTTCCCCCACAGATTAAGAGCAAATTCTGTGATGGCGTCTCTGGAACATGAATTTCAAGATGTGAATACCACAAAGGAGAGAAACACCAGAGAAGCATTTTCTCTGTTAAAGTGACTGAAGCAGAGCGAGCAGTCATTAGAATAGTCTTACTCAGCATTCCGGGATCAACGCTAACACGAAAAGCAATGCTAGGGCTGTCTGCGTACATAGTACGACGTAGGTACTGCTACAATGCAGAGTTCCTCAGAGTCTCTGTACAGATTTTAGGCGGTTAGCCCAGTCTGTAAATGACGTTTGAGAACAAATTTATGAAGGTTTAGAAGAATGAAATGGTACTGTTTTATACAACAGTGTAACTTCTTACTCTGGGTTCTCTGACAAATGAAAGATAACAACTTAGCTAAAAGAGATAGAAGTATTTTGAAGTCAGCAAAAACAGGTCTACATCAGCTGTGAAAACAACATGAAGTCTGCATGTTCAAATGTCCTTTCCGGACTGATTCTGTAACACTGAGGACCACTATGCACAAACACTACAGTGACCCCTTGCAGTCTGACATTTCAAGGTTAAGCTTCCTAACAAGTGCTTCACAATATCCTTAGTTCTGGCATTAAAAAAAAAAAGAAGAAGAAATCAGAAGTGTAAATTCTGTTTTTCAAATTTGGTCTTCAAACGTCTACACTGTTTCTACTCCAGTCTCCTTGATTTAAAGGACACCAGATTATATGAAGTGATGTAACCAAAACTCAGTGGTGGGTTTTTTTTGGTGAATTTAAACTCTCCCCAGGACGTGCAATCTGGGCTGCATTTACACTATACAAAACGGGAGACGCTCCTTAAGTTACAAACTTAAATCCCAAAATGATGTTCATACTGTTGAACTGATGCTGTTGGCATAGAGACGTTCACGAGTATGAGCGGGCATGAGTTGAGCACATTACTACGCAAAACCATGAAAACCATGATCAGAGGAACATTTTCACCTAAATGGTTTTTCAGGCAAAGAGCAGCTATTAATTTTCCCCCCAAATTTCCTTTAAAAGTGAAATATATCATTGATAATCAGAGGGAAAGATACTTCAACATTCTGAAGCCTGTTACCTACATCCTAAAGCTCTCAGACAAAATATTCTTTGATTTCAAAGGGAACTGTATTGGATAAAAGGACTGCTGGACTGGGTCTTAGAGTAGGAAACTCTGACCTCTAAAAAAAGGCTCTGGTTTTAAGATAAACGTGATGGGGAGCTCTAAGTTAGACTACATAGTTTGGGGGTTAGGAAGGCAAGTGTATTTATGTTAAATAAAGAAACCTCCAACGCTGGAGACTAAGGGGTAAATTTCACATCTTGGGGCTGCCCCTAGTTTCTATTTTTTACCATCTTATTTATCAATATTCTGTTCAGTGGCTGTATTCTACTGGCCAGAAATTCACTGAAATTTAAATAGATTTATGTACTATGCACAAATTTACATGTGGTTGTCTTTGTTTTAAGGTTTATTCTTACTGCAAATCAATGTTTAAACAGTCATTTTATACAAAATTTAATAATTTAGACTATGAAGCAATTTAAATACTTAAATTCCCTCAAAAAGACAACATTTTGTATATACATACATGATGTACACATATGAAAAACGGGGTCAAAAGAATTTTTTGGCAGCTGCTTCTTGCTGAGTCCTAAGGAAAAAAAAGAAAAAAACCCTGAAAGTTCTATACATTTTACTTCAGTAAGAATCAGGATTGCTTAGAATTGAAATACACATCGCCTTCGGAAGTATACATCCCATTAAGATAAGCATCCTTCCTACAGATGCACTCCCACATGACTGAAATAGACTAGAAATACTACTTGCTTTGTGTTAAACTGAATTTTACAAGTAGTGGAAGTTGAAGTGTTTAAAATTAAACAAATACAGAAAGATGCTGAGTCAAATTTCAGAGACTTACCTATACATGATGTAACCAATGAATAACACCGTTTGTACCACTACAAATATAACGAAGTGCATCGTAGATAAACATGATGGAAATGGTGGCAGCTCTGGGCATTTTGGTCTTTCATTTGATGGCTATAAGGCAAAAAACTATTACAATTAGTCAAACTGGTATTTTAAAAAAATAGATAAACGTGAAACCTTCATAAAATTCATGGTTAACTACATAAACTCAAGATTTTTATTTATTCGTCCCATAAATATCTTCCATCCCCTTAACTTTTACCACTTTTTTCTTAAAATAAAGCTGACTTGTTTACTTTTTTAGTAGTATCTGTGTCCACCATGGGACTCAAACTCATGAGCCTGAGATCAAGAACCACATGTTGTGCTGACTGAGCCCGCCAGGCACCCCTACCACCGAACTTTCTGGAAGAGTAGCTGACACAGGGAGGCCTCGCCTTCATGGCCCAGTCACTAACACACTGCTGTCTGCCTCGAATCTTCAGCACGTGGTAATGATTGCTTGTGTTCTTGATGGTCACAGGCCACAAATTCCCTGGACACAACCAGTTTATCCTTGCTGTACTACACTGATTATTAATTATTATTATTATTATTAATAGTATCCCCTTTATTCTCAAGGAACTGCCTGACAAATGTAATGGTTTTTCTTAGCCCCCATCCTCCCCAACCTCCTAGCAGTCAACATTACTAATCAGTATTTTGAAAGATGTTTCTTTCGGAGCACCTGGATGGCTCAGTCCGTTAAACATCTGCCGTCCGCTCAGGTCATGATCCCAGGGTCCTAGGGGTGGAGCCCCACATTGGGCTCCCTGCTCAGTGGGGAGCCTGTTTCTCCCTTTCCCTCTGCCTGCTGTCCCCCTGCTTATGCTTGCTGTCAATAAATAAAATCTTAAAAGAAAAAAAAAGTTTCTTTTCCTATTTCCATGGGTATTCTTTCTGTTTTAAGGGGCAATTAAATACCGGGGCAAAGATTCAATCACGGTGTCCTGACAGAACGGCCTGTCGGGTCAGTTGTTCCCGGCATGTTTGCACCTGTGGGACAGTGCTCCACACTGCATGTGTGCCTGTCCCAGAACCAGACTGCATCCCGCTCCACGGGGCACAGCCGGGGGAAACGGGCCTCAAACAGAACTCAGGGAACAGACCATGACGCTCTGGATGACAGGTCATGGTCATTAAGAAAACTCTTAACTCCTATTTGAAAAATGGGAATACCTAAGACATACATAAAAATATAGGTAAGAAAGGCAGTATCCAAAAATATAAAGGAAACGAGATTACATGTTAAAGACCTAAGTTCTTCCCACTAAATAGTTAAGGACCTCAGGAAAATTAGTTAACAACACATTAACTTTCTTTCCTAAAGGATAATAGTTATTTTTAAAAAACTTTTAAAGATAGAAAGCTCCATATAACATATAAGGTATTAGGGCTTCTGGGAAGGTACACTGGGTAATACGGACCAACCACCTAGCAGAAGACAACTAGCAGAGCTAGAAACAAATCCAATCTAAAACAACACCCGTCTGAAGGCAAAGGCAATGAACGAGATGGCAAGAAGTGATGGGATCAGCATTTTTTTGGGCGGTAGGGGGCAGGGAGAAGGCCAGAGAAAGACAACTTCAAATCCATGGATCAGAGAAAAAACTGAAACGGAAATTAGAAAGAGCACCTGGGTGGTTCAGTCAGTTGAGTGTGGGACTCTTGGTTTTGATCAAGTCATGATCTCAGGGTTATGGGATCAAGCCCTCTGGAAGGCTGTGCTCAGGCTGGCTAAATATTTCCCAAATTTAATGACAACTATAAACTCACAGAACCAAGATATTAAACCCCAAGCAGAGGAAAAAGAAAACAAAAGCAAAGCATATAATTATCAAATTGTTTAAAATCAGTTATCAGAGAGAAAATCTTAAAAGCAGAGAAAAAAAGAGTACAGAGAAACAAAAGACTGACTTCTCATGAGAAATAATAAAACTATGATACAGTCCCATAATGGGGTTCATGCAGCTGTAAGAGGAATAAGGAGTATCTGTGCCCCACTACGACCACACTGGTAAGTGAAAGAAAGCAGGGAGAAGATAAATGTGTACAGTCTGCTACTACCTGTAAAAAAGGGGAAGATTTCATCACAGTTTCTGCTTACATTAAGAAAAGCAACAAACAGTGGACTGAGAAACTATAGTCCCCCCAAACTGCTCCATAATAAGGTAGAAATAAAAAGCACGAGTGTAAAAGTTAGCCTTCTTTGAATCATCTGAGCTTTAATCTAGATACAAATTTACAGGAAACTGACATTGAGTGTAATTATGCAAACAGCCAGCTTCATAATTACCAATCCAACCTGTCCCCAGTCTTAGAGCTATTCTATATAGTCCAGCAAGAACGGCCTTGAGCATAGCAGTATGTATGTTGTTTTTTAAAGATGTATTTATTTGAGAGGGACAGAGAGTGCACACGTTAGAGTCAGGAGAGGAACAGAGGGAGAGAATCCCAAGTAGACTCCCCGCTGAGCACGGAGCCCAACTAGGGGCTCGATTCCACGACCCCAAGATCATGATGTGAGCCGAAATCAAGAGCCGGATGCTTAACCAACTGCACCACACAGGTGCCTGTAGGTATCCGCTTTTTTTTTTTTTTTTTGCCAGCGTATCTGTGAAAAATGCTAGAAAAAAAAAGGACTGATAAAGTAAACCAAAACCCAAACCATACAAACAAAAAAACTTTAAAAAGTGAACCAAGTAAGAGAGGAAGAGTTGCTGGAAAAAAGAAGAATCTTGCTTAAAGAAAGAGGCTACCAGTCAGCCAGTGTCAGACCTGCGCTTCCTCGCAGCCCAGACAGAGAAGTGGAGCTACCCAGCGCCTGTCTCAGTGAAGGGTCAAGAGACGTTCACCTTCCTAAAGCTGTTTAAAGACATCACTACTGATAACAAGAGGCATTTTTAAAAAAAGAAAATTTTACAGAAAGAACCTAGAAAACAAAAGTCTGGGACTGACATCGCAATGATAGGAATAGCAATGTATTTTTTAAAGATTCTATTCAACAGGGTATGGAGGGGCGCCCGGTTGGCTCAGTCAGTTAGGCTTCTGCCTTCTTTGGCTCAGGTCACGACTGCATAGTCCTGGGATTGAGCCCCACATCCGGCTCCCTACTCAGCGGGTAGTCAACTTCTCCCTCTTCCTCTGTCCCTCCCCCCTCTCACTCACTCATTCACTCTCTCGAATAAATAAATAAAATCCTTAAAAAACTTCTATTTAATAGGGTATGGAAACATGGAATATAAAGACATTTGGATCACATGGAATAATTCTACCTTGAATATGAAAAATGAACATTAGTATTAAGTAAAAAGTTATAAAGTATTTCTCAGTAGAATACGTGTTCATTTGTTTCTAACCAAGGGAGACTGATGACGACAGCAGCAGGAGTCAAGAGCTTACCATGTTTCGCTGCACTAAGTTGTCTATGTCCCGCTTCACGATGTGCAGGTGCTCTTTGATGTCGTTGAAGTGCTGGGTTGACTCATAAATGCTCCCGGCAGACCCGGGATGCTGGATGCCGCTGACCAGTCTGACGGTGTCACTCATGGAATTCCTGAAACAGAAAATCCCTTTAGACAAGGGAGTTGCTAGAAAAATGATTTTTTTAGTCACATTTTTCGAAAGGTTAGATAGATACACTTCGAAGCCCAATGTTAGATTTTAAAAAAATCAACCTTTAGAAATACTGAATCATATTCAGGATTGGAAAATAATTTTTTTAAAAGATTTTATTTATTTAGGGGAGCCTGGGTGGCTCAGTGTTTAAGCTTCTGCCTTCGGCTCAGGTCATGATGTCAGGGTCTTGGGATGGAGCCCCACATTGGGCTCTCTGCTCAGCAGGGAGCCTGCTTCCCCCGCTCTCTCTGCCTGCTACTCTGCCTACCTGTGATCTCTCTGAGAGAGAGAGAGCAAGAAAGAGAGACAGGGAGTGAGCACAAGTTGGGGGCAAGAGGCAGAGGGAGAAGCAGACCCCCCCACTGAGCAGATGAGGGACTCATTCCTGTGACTCCAGGATCAGGACCTGATCTGAAGGCAGACACTCAACTGACTGAGCCACCCAGGTGCCTCTGGACAATAATTTATAAAACTATAACTTAAGGGGCGCCTAGGTGTTCAGTCAGTTAAGCATCTGCCTCCAGCTCAGGTCATGATCCCAGAGTCTTGGGATCGAGCCCCACATTGGGCTCCCTGCTCAGTGCGGAGCCTGCTTTTCCCTCTACCCATTACCCTGCTCGTGCTTTCTCTCTCTCAAATAAATCAATAAAACCTTAAAAAAAAACCAAAAGCAAAAACAGAGACGGAAGTTTAGAGTGAGAGTACCATCCTTTACTCTCTCTCTGGAAATGAGGGATTCTGGCTATGACTATGACCTCCACTAAAATTTTGGAGGGCCTGATGGGAGTACTTCATCATGAACAGTGCAGGCCAACAACATCCAGTTATTAATAACTGTTGCAACTGGGGGGTGGGGTATAAGGGATGGCTTTTATGCTCAACTTCTTTGTATGTTTGAAAATGTCTAAAATGAAAATAAAAACTGGCAAGATGTTCTTTTTGGTCTGCTACAAACTGTAGCTGAAAGTGAGGAGATGATGAAACTACTTCTGACTTTTTATTTTGGGACCTTTAACCGGTCAGGGCCTTTTTTTCTCTCTTTGTAAACTGAAGGGGGTTGTACTACATGCTTCCGCTTAAAAAAAAAAACTCTACGATTCTTTAAGAATATGAAAATCCACAGACACAAATCAACCGCTCCACAAAGACAAATTTCCTTTCTTTACAGTTTTTTCCTGAAGCCTAATCCAGAAGGAAAAAAGCTCTAGAAGACAAATTTAGACATCGGCGCTCAGTTTTCACTTTCACGTACAGGGTGCATGACATTCATTCTCAGTTAGCAAGTGGGAGTTTATGGGGACTGCTAACTACTCTAAGTAAGTGCTTTCATGCATTATACAGCCAGATGGCTAGGGTTTACTACTCACTCACTGACTCTTCAGACGTTCTGGTACCACTGGTATGTGAAAATAGCAAAGAACAAAAAGGAGTATCTGGAATATAGTAACATTCGTGTAAGAAAGAAGGGGATCTAAGAAAATACACATGTGCAGACAAAGTGCAGGAAGAACAAACCATGCTCAGGTCATGATCCCAGAGACCTGGGATTGAGTCCCACATTGGACTCCCTGCTCAGCGGGGAGCCTGCTTCTCCCTCTGCCTCTGCCTGCCGCTCCCCCTGCTTGTGCTCTGTCAAATAAATAAATAAAATCTTAAAAAAATAAAATAAACAAGTAAATACATTTTAGAGAATAAAAAATAGGGTTCTCCCTCCTGGAGAAAGAATTTTCAAAGAAGGAAAGAAGGTGAAAATCAATATAATGTTCAGCCTAGTCTAGTCCAACCAGAATCCAAAGTGTCTGGATAATCTCAGGGTCTTTTTAATACAAGAGTGATGGGCACAAAAATAAAGATATGCGCGTCTGAGTGGGTTAGTAGACATTCACATATTCCCTAGCTCTGTCCACTGAGAGGGCCTAGGAGCAGTGGCACCACACGGATAGTGAGCACACCTCCTGTCCAGATCTTGGGTTTCTAAATACTTTTCTTTAATAAAAGGATCCAGGGCTCACCAGAGAAGTGGTTGATTCTAGAGCTGGGACAGAGAAAACACAAAATGAGCCTGAAACACGGTGTAGCACCAGAAAGTTAAAAAATGCTTTAAAAAAAGATGGGAGCTTTTTGAAAGAACACAGAAGCCAACCTGGAGGAGTTCTTAATCACCACAGCAGAATCGTATGCGCAGTAAAAAATGACAGTATGGGATTGCAACCCACAGAATACATATCCATGAGCCCGTACAACATAAATAATTGATTAAAATAAATAAATGGGGCAGAAGAGACCCAGTCCTTACAGAATTCCAATGAAGGCATGGGAAGGAATGATGAAAATAGGAAAAAAAAAAAAAAATCAGCATTTGGGAAACATCTCATTCTTGTTTCAAACAAAATGTCAATGGATGCTACAATTAGCAAGCAAAAGTTTAAACTGAAACAGGATATTTACATTATTTACATAGTCCCAAAGTTCCTTTTCCAAAATGTATTTAAGCAGTAAGGGAAAGACAGTAACTTTAAAGTATAGAAGGCAGAAAGGAACCACCATAACCAAGTGACCCCGGCCAGTGTCAGCAGCAGTAAGCCACACTGACACCGTGAACGTGACACAGTATTGTATTCTCGTCAAGAACACAGAACTTCCATCCAATCACGAGTCAGCACCAGCCAGACCCCAAATCTGGAGACAGTGGACCAAAGAACGGACAGAAACTGTCACGGTCATGAAAGACAGAGGAGATGAACTACTCCAGACTGCAGAAGTCTGAAGAGATAGAACTAGATGCAATGCGTGTTGCTGGACATAATCCTGGAACAGAAAAAAGTGCATGCGTGGAAAATGGGTGAAATTTGAGTAAGATCATTAGTTTAGTTAATAGTACTGCACCGCTGTTCATTTCCTGGCTCTGACAACTTGTGCTATGGTTACATAAGTCGTGAACATTAGGGGAAGATGGCGAGGAATATACGGAAATTGTACTATTTTTGCAATGTCTGAAGTCTAAAATTAGATCAAAATAAAGATTTCAAAAAATAATAGCAAATGATCCATTTATGAAAAAAAAATTTTTTTAAAGACTTTATTTATTTATTTGACAGCGAGAGCAAGACAGCACAAGCAGGGGGAGCAGCAGGTAGAGGGAAAGGGAGAAGCGGACTCCCCAGTCAGCAGAGAGTCCAATGCGGGGCTCGATCCCAGGACCCTGGGATCATGACCTGAGCCAAAGACAGACCCTTAACTGACTGAGCCACCCAGGTGCCCCTATTTCTGAAAGAATTCATTCATTTAGGATTGTAAATATTTTAATCATGAGTTTACAACTTAAAGATTTTTTAAAATGTCAGATAGTATAAGTGAAAAGAAGTCCAAATTTGCAGTTACAAGTGGGGCTGCCTTTAATCTCTAGGTGTGGATACTATCACCTTCTGTTTAACCCAATACTGTTTAATTTTCCAGTGCTAAAGAACTCACCTTGACATTCTTGTGTGTCAAGGGTTGTACTGGTTGATGCAATGCTCTAAAAAGTAAGCTTATAAAATGTAACACTTTGGCTGTTTCTCTACTCTAGGCATTGAAAGCTGTTAATTATCTGTGTAAGTGAATACTTTTTAGCAACTTATTCAAAGTTCCAAGGACACAGTAACTCCTCTCTGGTCCAACTCTGTCCAGTCTCTCTTAGGGTACAAGATGGAATGGAAGAGAGGTAGTCACACACAGCACGTTCCCTTGGAAGTGGTTCCACTCCGCCACAAAGAAGTTCCTGGATCAGGCATGCGTGTATCACAGTTCTACAACGCTATGCATGCTTACCCTTCTAGGATTTTTCACAGATACTACTACACATATTCTTTTTTCTTTTTCTTCTTTTTTTTTTTTTTGACAGAGAGAGAGAGAGAAATCACAAGTAGGCAGAGAGGCAGGCAGAGAGAGGGGGGATGCAGGATCCCTGCTGAGCAGAGAGCCAGATGCAGGGCTCGATCCCAGGACCCCAAGATCACGACCTGAGCCGAAGGCAGAGGCTTAACCCACTGAGCCACCCAGGTGCCCCTACACATACTCTTTTTTTTTTTTTAAGATTTTATTTATTTATTGGATAGAGAGAGATCACAAGTAGGCAGAGAGGCAGGCAGAGAGAGAGGAAGAAGCAGGCTCCCCGCTGAGCAGAGAGCCCGATGTGGTGTTCCATCCCAAGACCCTGACATCATGACCTGAGCCGAAGGCAGAGGCTTAACCCACTGAGCCACCCAGGCGCCCCTACACATACTCTTTTTATTTTAGAAATGTATGAATACTCGTCTCAAGTAGCTATGACAAATGTATTTTTTTAAAGATGCTAAAGCATTTTTTCTCTTCTGATTTAGAACAACTCAAACATTTAGGCCTACTGGCAGTTTCTGAACATCAAAAGTTCCCGTACTTTCCACTCCCTGATTTAGAAACTGAATCTAGAATGTGATTCTTATCCTCTTGTGGAATTCTTACAATAATAATGTGCTTACACAGAGGGAGAGAGAAGTCATGAATTTTGTATAAATGTATCACCTAACACTCAGACATGACTTCTGCAGACTTACTTCATTTCGTTTACTTGTCTCAGGATCTCGTGCTGAGTGTTCACAACGGTATCCAGCTCTTGCTGGGTGATCTAGAAGGAAAACAGAAGAACCCAGTTCTGTAGGAGCACAAGGCAGAGTACCCTTTCTTTCCTCTGTGCCTCCCCCTCCATCAGAGGCTACCTAAGGCACACACGCCTGTCTGGAAAGCTCACCTGTCCCTGCTGGGCTGGGATTCCTGCCCCTCTTTTAGCAATCTCCTCTGTCAACGAAGAGACGTATCTTCTCTGTTCATCAAGAATCATATCTAACTGTCGGTTCAGCTGCTTGATTTCAAGATGGATACGATTCTGTCCTTCAAAGATTTGTCTCAGCTCGCGGTCTCCTACACTCTCAAATATTTCATCCGCTGAAATGGAAATTGCAAATTAAAATGATCAAAATCACCGACGTGTAGTTTTTGCAATACCGTAAGTGACTGAATATCAGTATATACTAAAACTAGGACATTACCAATATGATCTACTCCAGTGGAATGAGCTCCTCAAGAGTAAATATGTAGATAGTCAATTCAATCAGGACAAAATTACTATATGCTTTTTGCCACGTATGGTGGCTGAACACTATTATAAATTAGTTCTGAACGTTTTTCACCTAAAAATAATTTTCTTTCAAATATATTATATGATTCTATATATATGAAAAGGCAAAACTAATCTATGCTACTAGAATCAGGAATAGTGGTTGTCCCTGCGGAGCAGGACTGACTTGGAAGAGGCATGAGTGAACACCCTGGGGTGGTAAAAATATTCTATGTGTTGACTGAGTGACAATTAAGTGGGTATACAAGTCTGTCATCATTCATCAAACTACACTTTTAAAATCTGTGCCTTTCACTTAGGTAACAAATTTAATAATGGAGTTGAGAACAGCTGATTTTCCTTGTAAAACTGTGCTGAAAACATTTCATTCAAACATTTACTACAGTAAGCTTCAGGATATACTCACGAATCGTATGTGATATTTAAAAAAAATCCAAGAAGAGAATTAAATTCATTTTTCATTTTTATCTTCATTAAGTCCGATTTATATTATTGATCATTCAGAGAATCATATACTATAGGGAATACAAAAGCTAGCTATGGCTTTATTAAATACAGCTTCGATCTGTGCCGGTGGGAACAATCCAGATAAAACTTAGCAGATAATATAAAGCCACTCTACTTGGACCTCTCATGTTTTATTTTTGACCCATAGCACACTTAAGTTCAACAATGGCTTAGACTAATTATTTTAAAATTTGCAAAATCTTCAAATCCAGAGTTCTGCTGAGCAGTAAGGGGAGGAGAACTAGAGATCATTTCATATTACTTTCACAAGATTTTGTTATTTTCCCAGTATTATCTCTGTATTAATAAGCTAATATGTGCCACTCAAAGGAAAGACATAAACTTTATATGATTTCATTCCACAAATATTTAGAGTCTCAACTACTAGGTCACGTTGGTTTTTTGTTTTGTTTTGTTTTGTTTTTTAAGGTTTGGGGGGTCACGGTAGTCAACAGAAAAACAGAATCACTGTTCTCACAGAGCCTGCACTTGGAGGGATCACTGTTCATCCATTTTACCCAGTATCGCCCACCAAAGGCTTTCCTAAGCCACACCCTTGCTGATAGAAACATCAACCTCCAAGCCTTAGGACAGAAGATTTGCTCATAGATTGCTTCTGGAAACTGCCTGGATATGCCAGACAAGAGCTCAAGGATGGGATGAATGTGCGTGCTGCAACCCCCATGTGGCTCTGAGCACAACTTCCTCCAACTCACCAGGATGCCCCTGAAGGTCAGGGTGGCCCTTCTGGAATTCCTCCTTTTTTTTATCCAATTCTTGTTGAAAGTGCTCAAATTCCTCCTGATACTTTTCTTTTTCTTTTTCTGAAATTTCTTTATCTGGCGTAGGCTTTTTTTGGAATTTAGGGATAGATCATTAAAAAAAAATTTAAAAGATAAGAAAATATTAAACCTCAGTATACTTTTTTTCCCTCCTTCATTTTAACTACTCAACCACTAGTTGAAATGTTAACATAAAAATATTAACCATTTTACTCTTGCTACTAATAATTACAACAAATCAGTAACACTAGCCACTACCATTTATTGAGTGCACGGTCTTATTTAATGCTCATGACACCATGAGGTAGCCGGTACCAATGTCTCAGTTTTACCAGTGAAGAAATAAGAGTGGTACAGAGGTTAAGCCACTTCCACAAGATTAAACAGCAATAACAGGCAGAAACAAGACCCAAATCTAAGTTGGACCTCCCAAGTTTTCAGCTACAGGGAGATACCAATAAACTGGAAGTCAACTTTTTTGGGGGGAAAAAAAATGTGTATACTTACCAGCTCTTTCCCAGGCTCAGTTAACTGGAAGGTCAGAAAAGAAAGGACATCATGGTCATCTACAAAATTTAAAAAAAAAAAAAAAATCTGAAAAAGTTCCACAATAGGTTATTTTTACGGCTGTGAAGTTACTTTAGAGAGATCTAGTGCTTTAAAAATAATCTGTGAAAAATAACAAAAATCAGCTCTCATCTGGTAAAGGCAACGGAGCTCTGTGAGCTTAGAGATGAAAATTCACCAGAAAGATTTACATCAGAAATAAACTAAAATTCACTTTATTTTATCTTAAACCAGAATATTTAACAGTGTTTAATATATGACAGATAATTAATAAGTAAGGGTATAAAGGTTAATAATAAATAAGGGATAAAGGAATAAACAAACAAATGAATCAAAAGAAAGCCTAAACCCTTAAATCTGACACCAAGATCTTCCCATATCTTCCCACAAATCTCCTTTATAGGCAGTGTCCCAGCCAAATGAGACAAAATCCTGTCCTTCATGTATTTCTGGACCTCTCAACCTTTCTTACAGTACTTACCACTACTTGGCCTTACTTTCTTGTTATAAACTTGACATTGCTTTGTCCTGGCTTATTGGGATAGTCCTGATTTATTCATGCTGTCTTGGTATTACTAACAGCATCTTCTTTTATTCGCCAAGCATTCCAATTAGATAATATGATGATTCTATCTATACAATATTCATCTCTGTTTCCCTCACATAGCAGATATTAACAATTTTACTTAATCTAAATTCATATTTTAAAAATCAAATTAATTTCAGGCTGCTTAAGCTGGAAACACACTTAGCAGATCAAACCTCATAATGCTGACCTAAAATACCAATCCTGGTGAGTCACGTCTGCAAAGCAAGCGCAATTAATTCCAACCAGCGATCTCTATGCTTTCTGCCACTGTTATGAAGATTGAGATATGCAACCAGATGAAAGAGAAAACTCTAACACTCTAGGTGTGTAAGCTACCTAACCTCAGGAGATGTTCAGTGTGATAGAGCCCTGGACTCAGGAGTCAGAAATTCAAATGAAGTCCTGCCTTGGTTTGACCATTACTGGCTATATAATATTTATAATGTACTTTAATGTAAGATTTGGCAAACTTAACTAAAAATAGGGTAAATACCATCTATCCTCTCTCTCTCCCTCCTTGTGATATTGTAAGGAACAATTATATATTTGAAAATAATAAAAAATTATACCATGTGCCATGTAAACACAACACGATATATATATTTTTTAAACACAAGATGGTATTAATGTGAGAAGTTCATTTATTACCAAATGTGGGGCAAAAATGGTAAATATGTCTTGTTTAAGCTTTAGTCCTAGTAATATTTCCTTAGGCTACCAAATTCACTTAAATGTGCTATGACAACTTTCAGGATCCTAAACCACTTGGCAATTAACCTATTTCAGCCTTTACTTTAAATATCAACCATCAGTTGTCTGCAGCCCCAGCCAACTGTATACCTACAGAGTATCAGCAGAAAATGAGCAGATTCAAGATACCAAAAGACTGGTTCTGCAGTACAGCTCGTCTTAAAAGGCTGAGAGGAGACAAGTCTACAAATCTCCCAGTAGACTGTTCCCACTGAAACTCAATTCACGAACTTGTAACATTAAAAGATAGCAAGATTTACCTGCAAGACCTCCAGTTGCAGCCGATACTCCAAAATGCCCTTGGGAAGGGAGAGCCAGATTGTCCGCTCTGGCGCAAAATTCATAGTCATTTTTATCTGGTGTGAAGCCATTATTGATCATTACCTAAAAAAGACATACTACAGCTATAGCTTTTACAACAGGCATTGTAAAATGAATTTCAAATAGTCAATTTATGACTAACTGATCTTTATATTTGGTCTCCTAGCCAACCATCAAAAAGCGATCAGTTTTCTCTATTATAAAGGGTAATCCCCTGTCCATGAATAACCTCACTTATTTAGCATCATTATATGAGATATTTCACTTCGAAGTTTTTATCCTACAATGTGTCAAAGGCTTAAAGAGAAATATTTGATAATGTTCCATGAAAATCTTTCTAAAACAGAAGACTCAGGGAACCATGATGACTTCCTTTGAATGGTTCATACAGAAGAGGGACCAGATTTGGTCGAAAACCCGTGTCAGAGCTCAAACAAGTAAGATGAATTTATAATTTTTACCACAGCTAGTTGGGAATTAAATATAATTATATTAAATTAAATAGACTGCCATGCAAGGAGTGAGCTTCTCTTCATTCAGTTGGGGAGGGGGTGTGACTGCTTGTGTTCCCTCTCTCGCTGTGTCTCTGTCAAATAAATAAGTAAAATCTTAAAAAAAAAAAAAAAAAAAAAGACTGAGCCAGTATTAAAGTCTTCCAAAGAACTGAGAAAGGAGAAAGAAAAATTTAAACAAGATGTTTTTTATTTATTAGTATGATGGCATTGATGGTACCTTTAACAAGCAAAGTTCCCATGATATTAGAACTGCTAGCTGGATATACCCACTTTATTTATTTATTTTTTTGAAGATTTTATTTATTTATCTGAGACAGAGTGAGAGAGCACAAGCAGGGGAAGCAGCAAAAGGAGAAGGAGAAGGAGAGGCAGACTCCCCGCTAAGGGGCTCGATTCTAGGACCCTGGGATCAGGACTTGAGATAAAGACAGACGCTTAACTGACTGAGCCACCCAGGTGCCACAGGATATACCCACTTTACATAAATATTGCCCTGAATTCAAGCTGTCTAAAACTAAACTCCTTACCAACCCTCTGCCCTCCCACTCCTCACTCAAACTCAGATGCTGCTTCCTGGCTTAGTTGTACAACTGGCCAGAAATCCAGGAACCATCTTTGAGTCCCCCACTGTACGCACCCTCCCACCCCCTAGCACAGTCTCTCCCTCCTGATCACCTCTCCTCTCTTCTTCCCTTTCCCCTGGCTCAGACAGCAAGTGGAGTCTCGCAGGGAAGAAGGCACTCGGTTCACATCACAGTTGTGTTACTTACGTGGTACGTTAGTTAACAATATGGTATGTTAAGTAACAATAAGTTACTTAAAATGTTCCATATCCCATTTCCCTGTGTATAAGATGGGGATGCCTGCCCCATAGGGATGTCAGAAAAAATAAGTGGGACACTGCACTTAAAAAGACAGAGCACGGGGTATGGCCCACTAAGTGCAGAGCCTCCTTTCACAAATGCCATTTTAAGAACACTGCTGCCTAAGTCATCTGCCCAAACTGCAAATTGGATCATTTCACTTTCCTGCTTAAAACTTTCAGCAGTTCCTTACAGGATAAACTACCCAAGGCCTGCGTGACTTGCCACCATGGACCTTTCAACCCCACTCCCCAGAGTCTCCTCTATCTCCAGCCATTCCAAATCACGTGCCTTTCCCCAATCTTTCACCAGTCCCTGTGCCTGTTTTCTATGCCTGGCACATGCACCCCGTCTCAGAAAAGTCCCCCCTTCCCCTTCCCAGTGCAGCTCAGCTCTGAGAAACTGTTCTGACCTTCTCCACTCCCAGCTGCAGTTACAAGATGCTAACCCCTTGATTCCTTAATGGTACGTGTGCTGTGACACACCTCCCATCTAGCACAGTAATGTTACACAAGTACCTTCCCTCCACCAGACTACAAGCTCTTTGGAGAAAATGAGCTTTCTCTTACTCGGATCCGTAACTGGATGGCTCGGATATGTATGTAATGTGTGGCATCTAGCAAGTAAGATGCTTAAATGTACTGATGAATGCAAACCTATGGGCAAGTTTTAACACCACATGACTACTTAGGCCAAGCTCTGAAGACACTTCTGTTCTCTCATAGTAATGCTGAGTACATAAACCGATACCCAAATTTACATGCCTTTAATTTTTATCAAAGATTCAGAATGAAAAGTCCACTAGAATGTTGTTCATTTGAGCATCTCTTAAGTGCGTGTTACTTACCATCAGTGTTTTCTGGTAATACGTAATCTTTGCCCGGACAGGATAGGGTTTATTACGAAAGTCCCTCTGGCAACTTGCTAAAGCTTGACTAGCACCATCACTAGAGTATGAAGAAAGGGAAAACAAACAAAAAACATCAGAAAGCTTCTCAGTACTTAAAAATTCACTACTTAAAATGATCAGCGTCCAGAAAGGTAATATATTATTAAGTTATGACAGTCTTAGGACATTTGAAGTTACTTAGAAGACACAAAGTTAATGCACAAGTTTTTCCCTGTGATTCCTGTCAGAACTATGGATAACATCAGAAGCCAATGTGCTGACAGCAAGAAGAAAGTTTTACTTTTCTGAGATGAGGGCGAAATCCTCCTTTATGTCAGGGCAGAATCGAAATACACTGGAGCTTTTATTTATTTATTTATTTTACATTGGAGCTTTTAAAATGCATATGCCTAGATTCTACCCCAAGTCAAGGGAAGGAGACTCAGGAGGAGGTGGCCTTGGCACCTCTGGTTTAAACAGCTCCACAGGGGGTCTTGATAAACTAGGAGGAAACAGTAAATGGAAATGCAGATGAGTAACTTTTCTTACAGTTCCTGATGGGCTCAAAGGTAATTCCTCCCACAACAAACATGTAAAAATTAAAAATGTACATACCTAATTCACACACATTATAAATATACTAAACACTTAGAAACTTTGTAGCCTACTGGGAATCTTTAAATAAATCAACATGCAGGATGTATGCGGTGGTGTAAATCGCTCAGCCATTAGTTTGGTTAAGGATTTCAACTTTATTTTTAAAAGATGAAAGAAACATGGCTAAGGGCATCACCAAGAACCAGGAACATTTTATAAATCTTTCAAAATATTACATAGTTTTCGGTTCAATAAAACAAGTCTTTTTTATGTTTGAAATCTGAGGTGGTCCACAGAATGAACTTTTTTATCCAGGACCAAATTTAAAAAAGACCTTTCTACCAAGTTACAAAATACATCTCAAGAAAAAGAATAATCTTATTTCATCTGAAAAATATTCAGACTTGAAATAATCTCTTTTTACAAGAGTTCTAAAAAGTTGTTGCAACCAAGTAACATAAAAAGCACACACTTACTTTTGATGGTCATAATGGATTTGTCCATTGTTGCCTATAATTACTATAGCAGGATTATTTTTCTAAAAATAAAAAGAATGTATTTCGTTTTAAAGTCCTTAGGTCAAAGAATTCTAGATCATTCTAGAAGTGCTGTAAAGTCTCTTATTTCTCTAAAATTCTAGGGCTCAAAATTTTAAAGTAATTAATAGAAAAGATTCTATTTATTTACAAAAAATTTAGTAAACTCTACTATAATCAAAGACAGTCTCTAAACACCTCAATAAAGACGTGTGTGTGTGTGTGTGTGTGAGAGAGAGAGAGAGAGAATATGATCAACTACAACACATATTTGAGGACTATGTGGGACACGTGTGAGACCCAAGGGAGCTTAGTAACAGGAGGACTAATATGTGCCAGCATTTAAGAAGTTATTAAAATTCTCTTTTAAATTGCTAATAATAACCCATGACAATCAGCAGAGAAACTACCAGCTGAAACAAAGATCATCAATCTTAAGGCTAACACAGCACAAGTTAATGTCACTAAATCACAAGTACATTTTGTTCTGAACTGTTTTAGGCTCTCCTAAAGACATCATCAGAGAAACTGGCAGATCAAAAAGAGTGATTAACTTATAAAAAGGTATTAATATGTGAGCTAGTAATAGTAAAGCACAGGGTATTTTCATGAAAACAGACTATAATCCTAAACGCTGCTGGTTTCACTGCCTACCTCTAAATGACTCAGGCTTATGCATCAAAATTACTACACACATATAGGGTGCTGCTGAGGGAGGTCAATGCAAAGTTCTCAGAGTTAGAACTCCATTACGACCTCAAGTTGGTGCATGACAAATCAGGAACAAAGAGCTTTAAAATTTCCAAAGTCCCGGTTATATACAAGACTAATCATCAAAAATAGAGTTTGGAGATTTCTCAAACTACTAACCAGACAAAAGTGTTAAATAAGCTATATTTCTCACAGCCTAACTTTGTTAGCAGATGTATTCAAGTAGGTAATAGTTCTGACAACAAATATACCTTTCCATCATTGTCGAAAGAATCAAAAAATATTCCAACACCATTCCACATATCAGCTGATCCAAACACAGGACCCTCCAAGCCTTGATTTTCTGTATACCATATTGCCTGTAAATATATAACAAGGGACATTCAGAGGCCAGTGGTATACGCACTGATACACATATGCATTGATGCACATATGCACGGATATACATATGCATCGATATATGTACGCACTGATACACAGGTAAAGAAATGATCATACCAGGCCGTCAGCTCCAATTCGACCTCTTCCAGTCACTCGAAATGTCACCTCAACTTCCCAGTTCTCAAAGGCTGCTTTCGTCTTTGTCCACACTGATCCTCTTTGGCTTTTTAAAGATGGTGCTATTCGAATTTGATCTGAACTTGGAATAGCATCTGGAACAAAAATCAGGGAAGAAGAGCTTTAAGTTATAATTAGGTAAAACTCAACGAACCATCACCAAACTGTTCCACATGCCGAGAGAGATCTAATTTTAACTTGGTAACCTGTACAATAATTTTGTTAGGAAAAAATTACACATTGATAGTTTCAACTTTAAAACTTTAGAGCTTTTGGGGCACCTGGATGGCTCAGTTGGTTAACTGTCTGCCTTCAGCTCAGGTCATGATCCCAGAGTCCTAGGAGAGGGCCCTGTGGCCGGGTCCCTTATCAGCAGAGAGAATGCTTCTCCCTCTGCCCCTTACCCAGCTTGTGCTCTCTCTCTCTCTCTCTCTCTCTAATAAATAAATAAATAAATAAAAATTTTTAAGAAATAAAAAATAAAATATTTTTAAAATAATAAGAAAATAAAATAGAATTTTAGAGCTTTCTAACAGCCTTCCCACCCCCATCTTTTGAATAGTGAAATACTTCTGGGGGAAAAAATTAATGCTGCAATACATTAAAAATTCAAGGGGCAGGAGGAAGGAAATTATGGCTTAAAAAGCAAATCAACTATTTGATTCCCATTATATTCTTTTTCAAGTATCTCAAAAACTTGCATATTATTTTTTTTAAACTGTGAACCATTTTAGCAGTTTACAAATGTCAGAAAGCTGAAACAGTGTGAAAAGAACATACCACTAGGAATCAAGAGACTTATTCCTAGTCTCAGTTCAGCTGTGTGACTCTGAGCAAATAATTCTTACTGTCTTGGGTTCACCATATGTTCACCTGTAAAATGAAGGGGCTAGGCTCAATCACTTCCATAAAAATCCCAAAAGTTATATGCAAAATTTTGTGCATATATGCATTCTTCTAGGGAGAGGGTCAACTGAATTTCAAGTCAATAAACAGTTCTTCAGTGTCAGCAGATTCTCAGAGAGAACTGTGATTCCCAAAATGGTGGTTTGCATCTCCAAACTAGGTTCAAATCCCAGCTCCACCACTTACTAGCTGTTTGATTACAGGCAAGTGATTCCGTTTCTCTAATAACCTCACAGGCATATAATGTACAGAAATATTTCAGAAAATGTTAGCTAGTCCTGTTATAGAACTAGATACTATTACAGCACCTATTAGGCCTAAGTTTGAACAATTCTAACACATCCTCTCAGATTATTATATTATTATATTAACGAGTTCTGACATCCATTCTGGGAAATAACTGTATTATGTCTTTACAGCTAGGAAAACCTGACGGAAGACAAGCTGAGGTACTTTATTAAGATCAGCCACTGTCACCAACACTTTCAAGCACTTAAACACTGGGGAAAGCCTCATGAGAAGAGTAGCAGACACAGATTCAGAAGACCTGGATAGGGGTTCTAGTCTACTGACACCAGTTATGTCCCTTCCAAGAACCTTACTTTTCTGAACAGCAGTTTTTTCATCTCTAAGACAGAGAACACCTGCCTTGCCTACAAATGATCAAATCAGAAAATGAAGGTGAAAGAGCTCTGAGAGCTACAAAGGGTTACAAATTGCTGTGATCAGTTTTGTGCCCTTATGAACCCAGGATGTGTACTAACAGTACAAAAGGCCATTAGAGTTAAGAAAAGAAACACCATCGATTTGATCTTCATTTAGGGATGAATGTAATGGGCCATGTTTAAACTGAATCTCAAATTTCTCTATTTATAAAAACTGCTGTAAACAGTGGATCTCAGGGTAAAATGAGAAGGGAAAAAATGATCAATGGAGTTAAGAAAACAGTGAGACTGTAAAAGTTACAGCGATAATGAAAGCAAGGGGTATTCACAGTAGGGATTCCCAGAGTCAGTATCCAGAAAAGTCAGGACTAAAACACGAATCCCTTTATTTCAAGTTCAGTCTAGTCATCCAACTTTAATTCATCCAGGTATACTACCTGACATTTTTGCAGCAGACAAGCTTAGTTGGGTATAGGCTCTGTAGAGAAAGTCAAGTTAGCTAATCTGAGTAGTTAACATTAATTGACTGCTGTACATGGCGTAAGTGTGAAAGACAGAAGAAAAAGCAGGCAAGGGAGAGATGCAGAAGTGAAAAAAAGTGTGAGCAAATTCATCACCACTATTGAAAACTTCAGCATCATTCCAAAACAAGAATCAAAAACCCCCAAAACTTGTGTTTGGTACACCTGCAGCATCTTTGTTTATTAGGAACAATGTTACCTTGGTAACAAAAGCCCAGCAATATATCCTTGATGAGTGGGCACAGAGAAAATGCCTGCTGAGAAACAAAATAATTGTACTCTACTTCAAATACTTAATGACTTGGTCATTAAGTCAAATTGAAATTTTTACCTTCAAATTATATATTAATTTCAGTGAAATGCCCCTTCCTTAGAGTGTGTTTCCTACTCAGTAATTACTTTCTGGAAATGGAATATTTTGTTTCAAGCACCTGACATTCTAAAACGAGGTATACAAACCTTTTATAAATGACTGTTTAATTACACATAATGAATGGAACTCAAAATGACAGAACTTCTCACCCCATTAAAAGGCATTTGCCACTTGTTTCAAAGGATGCATCTGATGGTCACTGAGCAGAGCTTACAGCATGCCAAGTGTGAGGGCTGATTCCTTAGTCAGCAGTGACACATCAGCACTAGAAAGTACAGATACGTTTTCTTTCACGTATGTAAATGGCTAGCAAGGCTCTCTTACCTACTAACAGTGACAAACACACAAAGGGAATAAAACAAGGAGCACAGATTACTTTCAATTAAAAAAAACCAACTATAACTCTGAAGAGGCTGTATATGTAATGTTATTTTCATGTATTAAGTGCAGAAGCAATAACAAAAAATATATCCCTTCTTCTAAATAAACGGATGAGTTGCGACTCATGTTACATAACGTGTTAATACAACTGAAAGGATCAAAGACCACACCAAGCCACCGAAAGAGGCAAATTCAAGGTGTAGTAGTTCCAGTAGTGTAACAATGTCCTCGGACATAAGAAGACTTAAAAACTACTTTAAAACCAACATATGCCATCTCTAGAGTCATCGGGGGTACACACTGGAGCATTAACCATTGCTAGCACCGGAGACAAGACAGCAGGGGAGGACCGAGCGGGAAAGGAGGCAGGGAAGCTCCGCGAACAAGTCTCAGGTTGGGATGGCCGGGGGTGGGGCTGCGGGGCGTTCGCGTTGAGACGTGGCGTTCAGGGTGAAACGTGATGCTTAGAAGAGAGTTTGAACGCTTGAAGTAGAGGAAAGTAACAAAACACCTCGTGACCGAACGGAAAGAACGGACGAGATCAAAGAAAAGAGGACAGGAGGACGAGGGGTGGGCAGAACCGGGGGAAGAGCCGGGCGCAGGCGGAGAGCCCTGCGGACCAGAGCCGACCTGCAGGAGGGGCTGCTGAGAAGGGTCCGCCGCGCCAGTGGTGTGCAGCAGGGAGAGGGTAGAGGAGAGGAGACCCAAGGCGGGGAAGGGACCCTGGCCTCCCGCCCTCTTTCCCGGCTTACTCCCCGCGTGGGCCCAGAAGGGCACTGTCCCGTCGCTCTGCACCAGGTGCGGTCCCTTGAAGCTGTATTTGTACTCGAAACGCCGGTGTGGCGACCCGGCTGCGGTGCCCGCGGCACCAGTAGCCGCAGGGTCGCCTCCCATGCCGTCGCTCCCGGCGAAGCGACTAAGCGACAGCAGTAGGGCGCAGAAAAGAGGCCGAACTCTGGCCTGGGGACCCCTTTGCCTGGATCCCGCCATCTTGGATTCTAGGAAGCGGAGGCCGGCGGGAGGAGGAGGGGCGCGGGAGCTGCGGACGGCCAACAGGGCGCTCGCTGATTGGCGGAGCCCGAGAGACCCCGAGGGCAAGGGTGAGCCCCGCCCCCGGACTCGGCTAGCCCGCGGCGGACTCGGGGCATCAGTGGGCGGAGCCCCAAGGGAGGGGGCGGGGCCTGGAGGCGGTGCTGTCCGCGAGCTCCTCCCGTCCTCTTTGGGGCGGGAAAAGGTCTCCAACATCAACATTCCCTTCCCACGTGATTGGGAGTGTTGGAGGAGTGGACCAAGTTCCTACCGGCAAGAATCTTTTTCCTCAAAAAAAAAAAAGTAACAATCTTTTTTCCTGCCTCATGACATGCCTTAGAGGTGGAATTCTGGAGAGTGCCTGGATGGCTCAGTGGGTTAAGCATCTGCGTTCAGGGTCCTGCCATAGAGTCCCTCATAGGACTCCCTTGGTCCCTACGGTGCCTGCTTCTCTCTCTCTCTCTCTCGCTCATGAATTATGAAAAAAAAAAAAAAAAAAAAAAGAGAGATGGAATTCCTGAGCCCTAACACCTGTGGACCTACTCACCAAATCTGTCCTGTCTGGCTATAATAAACCATTCCAGTATTAGAAGAAAGTCTGATGTGATAAAGATTGTTCAGTAGCTGGTTTTCTTGTTGAAACAAGTCTTTCCAAAAACAAGGCATAGTTTGGTCATAGGATGGTCCCACCCTACTAAGCTCCATCAACCTGTGTTCAGGCATTTCAAACAGAGAGCCATGAATATCAAGCTAGGGAGTTTGCCTATTCCCCTTGAAAATGGGAAGTATCTGTAGTGGTCTTAAAGGGGAAGAAAAACAGGGGCAGGTTCTTGTTGAGAGAGAACCCCCAGAGGAGAGATGACTAGTGTCTGAAACCAGAGTAGGGCAATCGAAACAAAAGACACAAGAGAACTTGCCACAGTGAATAAATTCAAAACAGAAGGCTTTACCTATTTCTCTCCTAATCCCACCTCAGCACACCAGCCACTTTGTATTTCCTTAGGTTTGCCTTTCAGTTGAAGTAATGATTGCCTAGGTGGATATTACTAAACACCCACACACTATCTGTTCCTCCTTTTGTTCTGTTCAGAACACCATTTTGTTCAGGGTGGCAAGCTGTACAGCCGAAATACTCATTTCTCCAGGCTGCAGGACATTTAATGAGAGGTAGGCAGAAATGCCTGAGGAGAGAGTCAGATACCAAATAAAAAGGTAAAACTTCACTGGGTGAAGACCTTTCCTTTTCCCTGTTTGTAGGGCTTCCTGCCTGAAAGTGTATGCAACGCCTAGAGAGCCTCAGCCATCTTGTGACCACTAAAAATGATGGCCCAAGAAGCCAGAGGAGCCCCAATCTTTAATGATTCCCTTGAGCTCTCTGGCAGGCCAAGTCTGCCTATCTCCAGACTTCTGTTTTCTGAGATAAGACTCTCGCTCATTTAAGCTATTATTTCCAGGTTTTGTTACCTGCAATCCTAACCGATATCATAGCTCCCATGTATTGAGAGCTACTGTGTATCAGGCCCCATTCAGGGTGATACACATACATTTACTCATTTAGGTGGAAATTAACCCAGTATTTTCATTTGACATCAAGGCTTTGCCCTAGCTATTTCATTGATAAGAAACAGTCCTCTTTCTCAAACTATATGTCTATCTTCCCTAAAATAACACATTAAACATCTTAAAAGCCCTTCTTCAAGTTTTTCCCAATTATAAATCAGTCATGAATGGCTTTCCTTCGCTTCTTTACAACAGGATGACATTTTACCTTTGGGTCAATACCATAAGGTTGGTTTTTTTGTTTGTTTGTCTTTTGTCTTTAATATCTAAGTTTTGTAAAATACAGCAAAAAGGGATTTTCTACCACTCTCTAGTGCCTGAGTCAATTTTCTAAAAAATTAAGCTCCAATTTTTAAGCCAGAAATTCCAAATAAATTATGGAAGTCTCTCCCCTCCTACTGAGCCCAGCACAGAGATAAGACATGAAGTAGCAGCACCGTAGCTCACTTTGGTAACTGATTCGTTGCAACTCCTTCTTGGTAAGAGCAGTGACTCATTGTGTGCCTCTCCTGGTTTTAGTGTCTTAGATGCCAGAAGACTGACTGGACTGTCCCACTCAACAAATCTATGATGTTGCTTTGCTCTTAAATGAGTAAAAAGACCAGGAACAGAGTGGGAGGCATCTTTTCTGTGGATCAATGTGTTGTTTTTCCATAATTGGTGATCAATTAAAAAAAAAATCTTTTTTAAACCCATCTATATTACCCTTACCAGTGGTACTTATTCTTGTTGGCTAGAGTCAGGGATAAAACTCTGTGGTCCATGAGACACTTCAGTAACCTTATAATAGACCCTCATTTTCATTTAAACTGGCTGGAAAAAATTTCACTTAGTGGCAGCAAATATTGCATTAAAGCTAAGACTACAGGGGCGCCTGGGTGGCTCAGTCGTTAAACGTCTGCCTTCAGCTCGGCTCATGATCCCAGGGTCCTGGGATCCAGCCCCAGGTTGGACTCCCTGCTCAGGGAGAAGCCTGCTTCTCACTCTCCTTGCTTGGGTTCCCTCTCTCTGTCAAATGAATATACAAAATCTTTTAGAAAAATAAATAAAACTAAGGCTACACAAATGTTCATTATTTGCATTAATGGATTAACTATTTCAGGGACCTCCTCATGGCTCTAAATCAATCATATTTGATAAGAGAAATGACCGTGATGATGTTATCTGCTTTGATTCTTCAGCGGCTGATCATTCATTCATGCGTGTGTCTGCTTGTATCACTCATTAAGCATAATTGAATACGGCACTTGCCAATTACTGGAGGCAAGGCAGTAAGAATACCACCTGTATAGAGAATTCAGATTTAATCTTAAACAATGAGAAAATTAGTATACATACTTTAATAAATGGGATGTTTGGGGCTACAAAACCAAACCAAAACAACAACAAAAAACACCAACTCAATTTAAAGTGTCTGAAACAATAACATAAATTGTAAGCTTTCCCCAGAACTGTAAATTACAGATAGGACTGGGTAAGGCTCTGCTGTACATCTCTGAAATTTCCTTGGCTCTAACTTGTGTTCACTTTGTCCTCAGTCTTCTCTCCAACCTCTAAGATGGGAGTTCTTTCTTCATATTCCAGAAAGAAAAAAAAAAATCTCTTCCAACCTTGGAATTTGTTCTTCTATTCTTTTTGGGGGGAGGGGGGTAATGATTTTATTTATTTATTTGTAAGACAGAGAGAGAAAGAGAGAGAGAGAGCTTGTACAGCAGGAGAAGGGGTAGAGGGGGAGGGAGAGGGAGAGAATCTCAAGCAGATGTTGCACTGAACTTGGAGCCTGATGCTGGGCTGATCCCAGGACCCCGAGATCATGACCTGAGCTGAAATCAAGAGTTGGGCACTTAAACAACTGAGCCACCCAGGTGCCCCAAAACTTCTGTTCTTTATTCAGCTTAGGTTACATGCCCATCTTTGGAACATTAACAGCAGCCAAGGGAAGACCACACACTGAATCAATTACCAGTAAGAGTATGGGATTACTAGATTTGGTTAAGAACGGTGGTCCTCAAATTTACCTGTGGAACTCCACCTGCAACGTTCCTAATTGAGTAGGTCAAGGATGGGGCTTACGGATTTGTATTGCTAGCAAGTTCCAGTGATGCTAATGCTCCTTGTTTGGGGATCACACTTTGAGAATCACTGGTTTAGGCAAATCATGATCTACCTCAGGAATTGGGGATGGAGTTGGCTCCCTTGAGCCACATGGGCTATGTGAGTATCTGACCAAAGTTGAGGTCCAGTTTGAAAGAAGAGGGTTGAAAAGAAAGATCAGAGGACAACCAACAGCATCTCCTACACTTGTTTAAGCAAGAACATGATAATGTCATAGATTTTATACGTTATTAAGGATGCAAGATCAAAGAGTGATCTAAATTAGGAGGACATGGTAACATGATTATAAGGACAAAGAATTTTCCGTTCAAGATTACACCATAGTTCAAATGATCAGATCTTTTTAATCAACACGGATGCAAGATGTAAAATTTCTAAGGAAGGCGAGCATGGAATTGGACCGAGTCTCTAGACAGAACAGTCGTGTTCCCTCTCTGGATAGCCTCTCCTGGCTTTTGGAGTCATTATTGTCTCTTCAGGCCTGGTGTGTAACTGCTAGGGCAGAGCCATAAGCAATTTGCTTAAATCCTTGTAAGGATGGTTTTTAACTAGGGTACCTTTTATAGGTGAGGGTGTAAAAAAGATTGATTGGTCAATCTTGGTATCATTTGTATCTGCCCCCATTCGTCAAATCACAGTAAGAGAAACAAATAAGTGTTTCCCAGAGTGTGCTGCTTAAAATTCCCCAGTGCCAAGAGATGCTATGAGATACTATGAGGATAAAAGTTTTATAAGCAAATGAGTGTAGGAGACTTGAGCTTGCCTATGCACATTAAAATGTTAAAAGCTCATAGAAATTCCCTAGTGGTGAAGCCCAAATAATTTTGTTTTAATACATTCCCCAAAGCTATTTGGTCACGGGAGCCTTTTTGCTGTTCACATATGGCAGGACTCCTGTCTTGTGGAACGCACTTTTGGAAATAGTGTACAAAACTACTTAAAAACGTTATCAAAGAAACTCTCTTCCCATTAGGAACCACTCCAAGATTTGCCAAACTTCTCTCTAAAAACAAATTCACTGATGCCTAATCTGAATGTACCATCGTCAATTTCTGGGTATTTCACCCATGCCGTGATTAAGCTATGATCAAATCTAATAAAATGATTTTCATAGGACTTCACTGCTAATTCCTCCTTTGACCACTACATACAGACAAAATGAGGGCTGCTAATGCCTTATACATAACAGATACTTAAATATTTTTAAAGGTGTCATACCGCTGAGGAATGTAATCATGAACACACAAAGCCTTGTATGTCATCAGTGAACATTCTGGTTGAATAGGACTTTAGCAATTTGACAACTTCAAAATCTGCATGAA